CTCACGACGCCATTGTTTTCGGTCTTCAATTCCTCACAGGTCACGTGGTACAGTTCCCGTTCTATAAGTGTAGAATTCTGTGACCCTGAGCCAAGAGGGCGCTGAAACTCTCCGAAATCACAAAAGAGTGCCCTTTACCGGGTCTGTATACTTTGTGACTTTGTTCCCGGATACCGGGTCTGTGTACACTCCCTTTCTGAAATCTACAGGGCTTGGGCTAAATTTTGATACCATATTCAATACTGTGCATTCATTTTGAAAAATTGCCAAAATAGGCCATTTGAAGTAGATGCCCGCATTGCCTGTGTGTTTTCCGCCCTATTCCCCCCTCTGGAGAAAGCACACACTTGGACTCGCCCTGTGTGCTCTGTTTGGAAAAGTAAGGCATTCTCACCAAGGCCTGCTTCCAAGGTCTCAATCCCACAAGTTTCAGTCTCAAGGAGGAGGGGTGGTTAGTTTTGGAGTTTGGAGTTAGTGTTGTTAGGAGTGAGAGTGAGGAGGAGGCTGGGAGTTGGGAGTGGGAGATAGGAAGGAGTGTGGCGGTGGTCACCGCTGCTGCTGTATTCCGTCTACGACCTCTGTTTTAGCATAAATTCCGGCCCTTGGAATACACAAAAGTGTGGAATGAAAATAGGGAAGCAGTTCTCTAAAAGAAAAAGAAAAGCCAAGCCTGAAATTTAGTTACCCCTTCCTTGAAAATTTTGTTGACTTTCTTCAAGCGAATATCAATCAACGCCATTTTGAACACAGCTGATCATGTGACAACTAGAACTTTGCCATCGCTTACAACCATTAAAATTAAGGTGCTTTAAAATGCCTTAATTTAATAGTACCTCAAGAATACTCTACATTTTATTTGTATTTGAAAACAATATGACTTTTGAAACTGAAATAAGCTGTTTAAAAATAAACATGGCTTTAAAAAAAATACACGGATATTTTTCTGATGTAAGCGATAAGCTAGAGAAACAAATGTTTTCGCAAAATCTTTTTGTTTTCCATAAGTATATGACTTAGACTAATATCAACATTGTTTGGGCCTTATTCTAAATTAGATTGGCCCCCAACAGAGAAAAATTGACTTAGAGTTCAATATACATAAAATACGAAACTGGTTATCGTTGCTATAGACTCGTTGCCAGGGTCCATGCAAGGTGCGTGTGTGCTTGGTGGTAACTGGATTGTCTGGGCAGGGAAGGAAATAACGTTTCCGTTATGATATTGCCCTGAATGAATACACCTTTTGTACAAAGATTTATCGAGACATTGTTGACACATACGGTAAGAAATGAAGTACATTCATAAGGGGCGTTATCAAACATAGGCATTGTTTACATAGCATAAGCTTATAAATCTAGATCCCTAATAAACCTGCCGCAAATCCGGTAAGGCTTACGTCTATCTTTGTTTTTATTACCGGGGAAAGTGGGGGTACCCTGAACAATGCAAACATGGAGATATTGTGAAGTGGCATATAAATCATGTTGTAGGGAGTGAATAAATTTCCTTGAGTATTGTTCTGTCAAGATCATAGGCTAATATGCTGGCTCAGGGACTATAAATTTTAAGTTACACAGATATGTATTTATTCTGTTGTCTGGAAATGGAACAGAATTATATACTGCTCTTAGATCTAAGTAGTGACTGATAAGGTTTACTTTGGAAATATTTGTCAAACATCTATAAAACACCAAGATGTTTTCTTTTGTGGCTTGCAAATAGTTGACTTTTGTAAGCACATACATGTAAATTATGCCTACAGCCGAACCTGGGGCCACATGACCAAGACAGTCACCTGTACAAACAACCGCAATTCCCACGTCCCTATTTCATGCATCCTTTAAAAATACTATAAAATGACATCGTGCAAGATGTCCACCTGTCTAAGACAACCATGCACTTTTCTCCACGGCAATAGATGCATGCACCATCTTTATTACAATTTTGACATATATATGCTCTTCTATTGTTTTGTTTTTTTAACTTATTAACTGGAGCAGCAAGATTTATGGCAATGCATGCTTTAATTTTTTTTCTTAAGTTATGCAAAGTTATGGCCTGCATTGTGCATGTATGATATGTGCATATATCAAGGGATCGATCAAAATGCTATGCTTGCAAACAACGTGCTAGGCTATTTTTCCACAGGTATTTGTATTTAACCGCCCAATTCACATGGAAATTTGCATACCCTTAAAAATTTAGTTAAAATTCGTCAAATAAAACTGACTAGGCTACTAGCAACATGAAAAGCTATGATACTTTAATCAAAAAATATGTCTTGACCTGTTCACATTGTCACCTGGTAGAGCATTTGATCATAGCCATTTGTCTCAATGAATATTCAGATGATAGATCCTCACTCAGATCTCCATTGATAAATGATAGCTCCCTGGATACAGTTATATGTGAGGCATCGTGGTGAAATCAGGTGCTTGTCAAAATATTGAAATCGAGGAACTCAACATTTTTTTTTTGGCCAATGGGCAATTTTTTTCTAATTTTCTTTTTTTTGGCTCAGAACCTTTTATGTCCATTTAAAAACATATTTAGTGGATGTTACTGAAAAGCATTGAATAAAGACACAAAAAATTTTAATTTTCAGTTTACAAGGACTCTCAGACTATGGAAGTTACCAAACTTTGGTGGCCATTTTCTCGCTGATTTGACCTCTGAAACCAGGCGACTCTGGCCTCTTTCAATCGCAAATATTTTGACTTTTATACAACATAGATGGATATTTTTTAACCACAAGGAAGACAAATGAACAGGCTTTAAGATGATACAAATAACTCCATATACCCAAAAATTGACGAGCACATGATTCCTCGACATCGTGACACATAGGCCTTTTATATATTATGCCTATTATATAAATATGTATATTATCCGTCTAGTACACATACATGGCATCTATGGCCTAGTGATTAGGCTACCGGACCCGCAATCATGAGATTGCCGGTTCGGAGGTTTGAGCGTCATCTCGGCCCGATGTTGTGTCCTTGGGAAAAACACTTATTTACATGAATTTCTCATTTATCTTGGTCCTTTCGGAGATGGACGTTTAACTCTTAAATAACCTAATGGTGTTGATAGGGACGTTAAACCACTACCATTTTACCATTTTAGTCTAGCACATGTATAGCGAACACGTATAATATAAAAAACACACTTGAGCAACAGATTTTGGGGTCCTGAATTTTTTATTTTAAAAAAGTAAAGCTGATCCCGCCTCCAATCCGGACATTGGGGATTGCCTTGTAATTAGACAATTTCCTGGGCCTTCGACATAATTGTGGTAGGGTGTCCAGTTCCTTTCCACGCCGCCTTTACTTCCCTAACTCGAAGTCAGGTTCCCGTTACTGCTGGGTGGGCAGGAAGGGGCGGAAAATAATCAGAGTCCGAACTGAGGCTCGAACCCGGACTTTCTGCTTGGGAGGCGAGCGCACTAACCGCTCCGCCACCGCACTCTCTTTCTTATGTATAACCTTAAATTCATACAATGCAAAATTCATACATAACAAAAAGATGTCTCCATCCTGCTGATTTCACTTACATGCAGACGAAAGTGTATGAGAGGTGTTGTGGTACCTAGCAGCAGTTTTGAGTAACAGGTTCAGGGAAAGTAAGACAAGGAGAAAGAAAAAAAAAAAGTTTATAGTGGATCAGAATAAAAGAATGGAATAATTCGGGGAAACACGGGCTGAGTGGTTTAATTATGAATAATCATAAATTCATCTGTAACCGAAATTGAACCTTCACTGTGGACCAATAATTGTTTGTGTTTACTGATAAACTCAGTGTAATGATAGTATCTAGCACACACTTAGTTCCACTGATTCACCCCTGAAAGCAAAAAATGCAAAAATAGCCTCTCCCTACCCCCCACCCCCTCCCAGTTTTCCCTTACTTTTAATGTCCATAGAACTGTAGAAGATTCATGTTTCCTTAAGAAAATATAATTATCATCCCCTCTCTTTCACTTTATGATTCAAGTATTTAAAACTTTAAAGCAGCAATCAACAGAGGCTTTTTTTTCCACCGGATGGAACAAATGTTTATAGGTTTTAATAAAGTTGTTACTGTGCATGGTATGACATAACCCTTTATATTTTGCTATGTGCCATTAAACAGTATGTGAATGTATTATCTCCTCAGGGTCTGTTCAGTCACCAAAATGCCTGAGAAACCAAGCTCCGCGTGTGCCTCCGACGGTCTGGAAGCCTTGGGGATCTTTGATGAGGAATTTCCCGATAATGTTTCCATTAGTGACCTGTGCGACTGTGGGTATGTCATGAATAACAGATTTGTCTCGTTTTACTCTTTTTGTTAATAACGAAATCATAGGTTATTTGATGATTGTGGTAATTAATGATCAGGGAGCAAAGTGTTCTTGTGCAAGGCTAGTAGCAGTGATGTATTGTTGTTTCACTCGGCTACAATATGAGGTATGTAATAATATAATTATTTAAGTTATAGCTTATATATAGTACAATTCCGAACTGTGCTGCATACTCTGTATTTGCACTTTAAAACTTTATTTAACCCAGCAGACCCAAGTAAGAATAATATAGGCCTAATGATATTGTTATAGCCCATATAGTATACATCCTCACTCTACAGTATGCTCTATGTATACACTTTACAACTATCTTTACCCCAGCAGACCCAAGAACAGGACTCAGTAACACTGTCGACTTCCTGGGAAGCATACAGTGCAAGCTGTGGATTACATATATATTAAAACACTAGGAAACTGACAAAATCTTTAGTTGTCTACAGCCAGGTACTAGGTACCCATTCCCACATGGGTGAAGAGATGAAAATTCATGTCAAGTGCCTTTCCAAAGGGCCCAATGTTGGACCCTTGACGGATTCGAACCCACAATCTTACAGTTGAAAATCCAAGAGCCTAGGTATATCTTGTTGTCTGCTGAAGCTAGCTATGGCTGTGGAGTGACAGGGCGCTCAGATCTTGTATTATTGTTTTCAGTTCCATAGTCATACCTATGGCATTGGGTGGCTCAGCAGATAGAACTGAATTCTATCTTATTTTAAAATGATTCTCCCTACTAAATGTGTAATAAAATGAAATTAGTTTTTATTGGAAGAGTAATAACTGTGACATAAGATTAGACAGTGCTTAAGATGCTGCTCAGTTTATACGTTACTAGTGGTGGGAGTTTCGTTGAAAAGGTACAAGTATTTTTGACAGAAAAATTGAGATAATCTCAATCTGATTTGCTTCTCCAAAATGATAAATTTAGAAAAATACTGTATCGGACAAGTTTACTTGGATCAACGTAAAGATAGAGAGAATTAAAGGGAAATGATTTTTTGGGGGTATGATTTAGGGGCTTATTGTATGGTCTACGCTATCTGCTTCCTTCCTTTAGTATTTTTTTTTTCCCGGGATGTTGCAGTTATGCTGATTTATCATAAACTTTAACTCAACTCACCCCACGCATGCACTATCATATGGTGTGAAAAACAAAGGAATTTTTTCTGGCTTTGAAACTGCGTACAGGAGAAATCATCTTCATGAGAAGCCTTCAACCTCTTGTCTGTCATTGTATTATGTTCCTTCGTCGATAATTTCAATAATTGTTTCTCATATGCTTTTTCACTGCAACCCACGTCATTTCAATTTCACTCAAGTCACAATGGCGACACACAAAAAACAGAAAAAAGAGGAAAAAGATTTATTCCATTGGATTGCAATGAATCTCCATGATTTTGAACTGATAGATCGGAGTTACTGAGCTAAAGAGGTATTGACATTTACTGGGGTAATAGTGTAATACTAGTGGCTCTTGAAGCCTTTGGTAATTTTTTTGAAACTGAAGTAAAGTCCTGTGTAGGGGGTAGCTGCTTGGCTAAATGGGCATATGGGCATTGAATTTGTTCAGCAACAATAGAGCACACTTTATCTGCTTTGAAAGAAATTGTTTTCCCTTTGCTTATATTTCAGTCGCTGTAAACGGAAACATGCCAACAAACCAATAATTGCCCAGCACAAAGGCCCCTTTCCCAAGACAGACTACATGTCTACCTATGAGGCTGTGAAGCACCCAAGACCCCGGTCATCCAAACGTCCTCCAATGACAGCAAGGGACCCAAGGCCACTGCCCATGTTTTTGTCAACAAATCAGAAGGATGACTTCAAGGATTTAGGTCATGTGGAAAGAGTCAAGCCAATTGTGCATGTACGTGTTATTCTAATTTTTTTAAGTACTCTATTCACCTTTTCTTAGAGTTACAAGTGGTTAGAAAAAGGGGCTGGTAGGCTTTTCTTCTTTGTTCTCTCTCTGTTGTTTCTATCAGTCTTACTCTTTCCTGACACAAAATGAGCATTATTACTTTTGTTAACGTGCTCAAAGTAACCCTTCTCAGTTTGTTTTTTCCCTTTGCATATAGGGATTTTTCACAGATCTTGGCAACGACTTTGTATTTGTCGCATCTGATGTTCAATAAGATTATTTGATATTTTTCAAGTAATGCAAGAGAACTTCAGGGAGAAAATTATTTGCCTGAAGATGTATTTGAATTGTGTGATTGTCACCATAGAGAGTCACCAACACTGAAAATTAATGTTTGAAATTTCCTCAACACTGAACACTTTAGGCATTTATTTGCTTTCTGAACCATTATACATATAAAAACTATACTTCTTTTTTTTCAATTGATGGTTTGTGTCGGGGGGGGATGGAGGAATTGGATTTTTAGACAATAAATTCTCATTTGAAATTGATAACAGGAAGACACCTACGAGCCGTCAACGGAACCGCTGGATGGTCTCACCTATTATGCACAAGAGTTTACAGCTAAACAGGTGAAGTCAGAGCCGGCCGTCCGACAGATGTCTCGACGAGAGCTCATCCACCGGGAACCCGCGCAGTTTGATGACACAACCACCAACAAGCAACACTTCAAGCGATGGGTGCCCCAACCTGCTCTCACCTTTGGGGAACTGCCCAGTTTCACTGGTACGTTGATAGTCCTGTGAGAACAGTGTGTAATATTCCATCGCACTGAATCTATGATAGGATAAGGGTGTTAGGTTATTTGAGAGACTGGACCATTGAGTTTAACATCTATCTCTAGTGGAATGAGTAAAGTGAAAGGAGAGTATCGAAAACTCCCCAAACAACCCAATATTAAAAAGACCATAGATAGTTTTACAAATACTGAACTCACAAATTTTGCACTGTTCAAATTTCAGGCTATTTATAAGAATATGTAGGATCCAATTTGATACCTAAAAATCTGTTTGCTGTGTGCATCCAGTTGATCTATCAGTGCTTCCTCCGCACAAAATGCATGAATGTAGGCTTTGTTTGTGCTCTGTGTGCACATACTTGACAAAAAAAACAGAGTGAGTATAAATAGCGAAAATAAATGTCTTTTTCTTATTTAAATAAAATAAACTTTGTCGGTTTTCTCTGGAATAGTTGAGTGGACATGAGCAGCTAGCAATTTTTACAATGTAAGATATGTATATATTGAACTTTATAAATAAACAAAACTGGAGCAGCTATGTGCATTCTTCATCATGTCTCAACGTACTGTAGAAAATAAAAAAGAAATCGTATTTAGAGTAATTTATTGTGCCCGGATCTGGACAATAAAGACTACCTTATGTTATCTTATCTTATCTTATTTTATCTCATCTTATCTTACCTTATCTTATCTTACCTTATTTCATCTTATCTTTTCTTTTCTTATCTTATGGTATCTTATTTTATCTTATCTTATCTTATTCACGCTCTGGTACATTATACAACATAGCACTTTATCTGACTTGATTTAGTTATTTTGTGCTGCAGTTGATAGTAAGCTGGCACAACTATCTTTCTTTCACTCTTTCTTTTTAAGCAGTTACGATAACGGTGGGCTCATTGAAATATCTTTTTCCCTCCCCTTTTGCATGGTACGTCAGGATCAATCTTGTTCCCTCAACGAGAGAACCTACCTGTATCCACCATGCGTCAATCCTTCATGGGAACATGGCAGCCACCGGCAGCTCAGATCAAAGCTGCCGACGCGAGCATTAAGCTAGAGGGTGAGTACTCATCTAACATGAGGGGTTGAAGTGCTGCAATAATTTGGTCCTCATTCATTTTGTTTTCTTTACGGATCACCATTCCCAGAGTAATAATAGTAATGATAACAATAATGATGGTATTAATGATGATAATAATAGTAATAGTAATAATAATAATAGTAATAGCAATAATAGTAATAATAATAATAGTAATAATAGTAATAAAAATAATAAAAATAATAATAATAATTATTATTATTATGATAGTAATAATAATAATAATAATAATTACAATGATAATAATGATGATGATGACAATAACAGCAATAGTAATAGTAATGTGTCAGTCGGTGCCTTCTGATAACCAATGCATCTGCAGAGGAGAATATTAAAAGCAAACAGAGGAAGCAAGAGTTATGATTACTTGTGGTTTCTGCTATGTCTAATAAAACCAAATCTGGCAGAGAATTTTTTGGCCACATTTTGGAATATTTGAGCATTGATCCTCCGCCTGACTTGTGTGAAAGTGCTTTGTACGGATTGTTTGCTCAATGAGAATTTGTCTTATTCGGCTTTTAGACAGAAAATAGAGATTGAAACAAGCATGTCTTCTAGCATAAATGATGTCACTTTATTTTGTGGGGGGGGTTTTTTAACAAGTTAAGAAAGGATTAAATCAAGACTGAATTTGAATTATTTGTTTTCTTCTCTTGTACTCTCCTGTCTTTCCTGTTTTGACTTCCTGTTTCATAATGAGCTTATCACATTTAGCCCCAGACTTCTGGTGTTTTGTGTAATGGTTAAACATTTCACCATGATCGCAAAAGACATTATTTGATTATACTATGGGGACGGAAATTTATCAACTACCTTTATCTTTCTTTTGGGATGCATTATCTCAATCATCTTCTTTGTTATCAAAATTATGTTACTGGTGATGCAAAACTTTCGTTTTCATCCAGACATTCTGAGAGTATTGGTTTAAATGGTCTTCTTAACAATAGCATCACTCTTGAAGACCAGTGTCTATCATAATTATACTGGGCTGTCCTGCTCAGTTCCTCTGTTGGTCCATTTTGCTTCTCCTGTAGTGTCATATGGGTTAGCCATGTTTCCTGTTTCTGAGCTTTGAATGTCCTGCACTGCATGAGGATGTGTCCGTGGGTGGTTGGAGGGCACCACTGTTTGGTCCTACTTATTTGCTTTCCCTCTGTTGTTTTTGCCTTTCTGTCTTGCCTGTTTCCAGCACTAAATGACCCTTATCGTATCATAATGTGCTTCTTTTTATTTAAACAAGCAAACAAAGATTTATTCCACAGTTTGGCTTGCTCCTCCACTCGGTCAGATCTGCTGCCTTATGAAAGAAAAACATATATGCCAAAAATGAAATTTTGCAGGCGAGACAAAAAACTAACTTTTTGTGTGTGTTTCAACTCAACTAAAATTTGGTCGATCTGATTATTTTATTTCAATATTCATTAGCCAGTGTAACTTTTGTCTGTTTTGCTGAGGTATACAGAAAATATATATGGAGTAACTGATTGAAATTTCTTTTTTCATAACATTACCGATATCTAATTAGGTCACAACGCATATTTTCAAAAGCTTAAAACTTCCTTAAATGTAATTGTACAGCCATAAAACCAATATTGAAAGACGTGCCTTGAAAAGGGTTTTCTTCTCTGCATAACAACGCTACTTGACCTAATCACGCGTATATATGGTTTTTTTGGTCATAGACGGTAGAGATGATGTGTTTTGGTCTTCTATCTTGCACAGGTAATCAAGTATTTGACACAACACACAATGCGACCTATCAGAAGATTGACGGTGACCACCGGGCAAAACAGCTGATCCAGAAGGACACAACTCCGCTGCAGAAACGCGGTCAGTTTCTGGGCAAGAGTCAGACGATGGACGACTTTGGTGGCTACCGCGGTGGTCAACCCCGCCCACCACGGGCTATGGATCCACCGCCAGCGACCATTGACCTGAAGTTTAACAACAAGTATGTTGCCCCCCCCCGGGCAGTGCTACTGACTGAAGTTGTCTTTAGGCCATTCCCAAATGGGGGATATTAACATATTCTTATGCACAGTAGAATTGTAAATGGGCTGATTTATCAATGTCATGCTCATACTGTGCCGAAACAACTTATAGGGGAAACTGCTGCTTTTTCTTTCCTCATCCTTACTATCATCATTTTTCCTCTTCTTGTTTTGCATGTTTGTCACTCTCTTGCCAACTACTATTTCCGGGGTGCCTTGATAGTCAAAGCAGACTTTGTGCTGTTGAGGCTAGAGAGGTGAGCAGTGTAAGCCTGATTCCCCATTTGGACTTCTCTGTTGACATCCACCCCTTGGCGCTCATATGGCCTTATGAAGCTGTGAGCACAGTAAAGCCTTACTAAAACAACAAGTATGGTGCCATTATAACCTTTCATGTGTTATTTTGGGGGACTTTTTTTATTGGCTTCTTTCTCTGTATTAAATGTAGTAAGTGTCAAATTTTAACTTCCTAGCCTGCTTCTTTCACTGGTATTCTTTTCTTTTTCTTTTTCCTGTAATAGTTTTGATATATCAATAAGAATGCTTCTTTTTGAAAGATACATGAGCTTTGGATGGAAATTGTCATAAATTTGGTTCAACAGCTTCATGTTTTTATGTGTTCTCTTTTCTTCAGGAGAAGTTTTTCAACGGAAAACAGAACCATTTACCGCGGCCATAATGTCATGCAACATCCAGCTCCTATTTCATGCAAAAAAGAGGATGAAGAATACAAATTGCCCTCTGTCAAGTTTGAGACAGAAACTTCTCAGAAGGTTTGTCCTCCATTGTTTTGATTTATTTTTGTTAAAGTTTTACCCTGTCAGAATAACTACCCACCATTTTACGTTTCCTGATGCCTGAGCTCATAAATTCAGGTTAAGGCATATGTGGTGTAGTAATAAGACACTTCACTGTTACATGCAGGAGACCGGTGTTCGATTTTCGACTAGGGAGGATTTTTATAGAGTATCTCTGAATTTTCTGCTGGAATGTTGTATTTCTCCCTTCTTGGGTTGGCTCTTACAGGTTGGGATAAGTCCCACTTCCTAAATGATCTCAACTGTGTCAGGGGTGGGGTGGAGTGGTTGTGAAACACCTTAATTTTAAAGAAATTAAAGAACTCTGAGTGATTTGTACGTTCTTGCCAACACCACTGTCTTGTAATTAGTTTTCTCTTGCTCGCTATTTCGTTTTTGTGTTCAGATTGAAGAAGGTGCTGGATTTTAAATGAACACTTCACTTTGCAGATACTAGTAGACTCACTTTAGTGTGTTATTGCTCTTAAACATTTATGGTCTTATACTGAAGCTGTAGTTATTTACAAGAGAATTAGAACATTCTGCTACTAAGCTTCTATTAATAGCATCAAAATGACTGTAGTTTACCATTTCTTTTCTAAAATTTTAGAGTGTGATAGAAATATATAATAATATCCTCCTCCACCCACCCCCACCCCCCTCCACTCCCCTTTCTTAGTATATCAGTATATCACAACAATCACAGCCACCTGTTTCCTGTTCACCAGACACATAAAGAAATACAACCCCAAGATGACCCTAAGTGTTGCACACCAGATTGAGCATTCAAAATGGGGGAGGGAGGGGGGTATGCTTTTTTTAATAGAGAATTGTAGGTTTTTATCAAAACAGCCGTCCTTTGTGTAGCAGTAAGGCACTTCACCATCTCCTGCAGGAGACCCAAGTTTGATTCCCATGTGAGGAGAATTTCCCTCTAGTAACTCAGTCTTTAAGTTGGGACTTTTGTTTCCCTCTCAGCCTGGGTTAGTCCGGACAAGTGAGGTCAAAGCCCACCACCTATAAATGATTATCGAGTCAATGGGGCTATAAAACACCTAACATTTTTTTTCCTTTTGAACTGTTCCATTGTACAACAAGGATCTTAGAATGAGATGTAATAGATTACATATGTGCAATTTTCTTTTGTGACAACAGAGAGACTTCCAGCCTATTGAACTGAAGAGTTCCGACTACTCCAAGATCAAGATCCCACAGTCGTCCATGGGCGTGCCCGTTGACGCAGAGTTTGAAGGGAAGACGATGAACAAGGAGTTCTTCCAGGACTGGGGGATCCAGCCCAGAGTCCGGTAAGCTCATTCTGTTGTTTCAAGGTCTGTTGTGTAAAAGTTAAGCTTCTTTACTATTAAATATAGATTGTAAACATCATAGAGCTTGCTATTGAGCGGGAATTTGCACCATATAAATGCTATTTATTATCTATTATTATAATTTTTTCAGTATTTGGGAGTTCCCGAGAGGGACAATTATTTGAATCAAGTATCTCCATCCCTCTGCTCAAATGTTGTATGTTGATATTGAATGTCTCACTCAGCATCCCTCTTGCAGGCTGCGATAAGCAGTCTAACTTCAAGATGATTTAAGTTATGTGGATCAGGGGAATAAAACTCACTCAGTCGAGATCATTTATATTCTTGTTAGAGTATTATATTTAAAAAATTATTTTTTTTAATAGTAGAGGGTTTTACGGCACTCGCAACTGCATACGGTCATATGAGCGCCAGTTGTTATGTTTGTTGTTGTTTTTGTAAGTGTTTTACGGCACTCGCAACTACATACGGTCATATGAGCGCCAGTTGTTAGAGTATGAAGCAACAATATGATACGAAACCCTCCTCTACCCCTCACCCTTTTTTCCCACGTATCAACATATCACATCTTTCAACGTGGAAGTCCCAGGTTTATTTCTTGTAAATAGACATACTCAGCCTAGTAAAATCAACCCCACCCACCCTACCCCCTTTCTTCCTTTATATCAGTGTGTATAGGCCATAAACACTTTTCACCATTCCTTATCGAGGGCTATCCTATTGATATTATTCCATGTCTTTTTTTAATTCCATATTTTTTCTCCTCCAGATATGGAGATTTCCACGAGAACCGACCGTACATCCCACCAAAGGACCCGTTCCAGGGGCAGAGCGTGACACAGACGTCTTATATCCCAAAAGCCGCTGAGCCTGTCAAGTTCTATAAACCGGAAGAGAGACCAATATCCAAGAGCGGCGAGGTAAGTGTCCACTACCATTTAAGAGAAGAAGTGAAAGAGAAAAAAGAATTTAAAATGTGGAAAAGACAATGCAAAAGAATATGAGTGTCACAATTCAGTGAAATCAGACACTCATCATTTTTTGGGTATATGGAGTTACTGGTACTGTCTTAAATTATTCATTTGTCTCACTTTTAATGAATAAAATATCCTTTTATCTTGAATACAAGTCGATGCATTTGTGATTGCAGGAGATGAGGATCACATGGTGTCAGAGATTAAAAAATAGTGAGAAGACTGCCGCAAAAAGTTTGGTGACTTCCAAAGCTTGAGTGTCCTTGGAAACTGCAAATTTACATATTTTGTCCCTTTGATCATAATGTTTTACAATAAAATCCACTCAAAAATTTGGTTTTGAATGGACACAAGGGGTGTTGAGCAAAATAAGAAAATAAAAACAAATTAACTCTTTTTATCCTAGCCGTACCCCTACGGACTCTGTACCAGTCCTGGGGCTGCCGCGCCGTATGAGTCGGAAGTCAGTGCGTATAGTTCAAAGTGCTATAATTCTTACATTTACTCTAAGGTTTTAAGGAAATTTGGCAGTTACATTAGAAATTGAATGTAGGTTTTTTTTAATGTATGTGGTAAGGAATTACACCAATTGCACAAAGTAGATTTTGAGGTGTATTCCACCCTCGAGCTAATTGACCCTGATTGCCGCGCCCACGATGTCCCATTGGATTTTATAGATCTAGATCTAGCCCTACCCATCGAGCACAAATTCTAGTACTTACCCCTTCACCATGATCTGAATCGCTATTAGATGAGTCCAAGTCCTGTTTCTTATCATCCACAACGGAATTTACGGCACTTATTTCAGAGTCACTTTCATCAAATTAGTATCATTCCCCCTCACAACCCAGCGCCACTTCAAAAACTACTTCATCGGTCGTGAATGTGCGTTTTCGAGACATCTTTTAAGCTTTTACACCCATCATAAACAAAGAAACCACTGTTCATTGGAAAATTTAAATATTCAGACAGAACTAGCATATCGCCATATTTGCGTATTTTGGTAATTACAAGCAGAACTAGCTTCTTTGACGTGACCGTGTTGCTGTTCCGAGTATACTCGTAGCCCGGACTGGTCCTCGTTACGAGTATACTCGTAGCCCGGATAAAAAGAGTTAAAAGTGCCTAACAGGCAGAAAAATGTCATTTTCTCCGATTTTATTATTTTGATGAGCGCCTGATTTCACCACGATGCCTCACACTTTTATTCATAAGAATCGGTTCTTATCACAAATTTTATATGATTATATATGACTAGCTGGACACCCTTTCGATGAAAGGAATGACCGGTGCATTAACATCAACTAATAGCCATTTGCCTACTATATTTACACTCTACTGGAATGGAGCAATAAATCTTGAGAGATGCAAAAAATTAGGTCTAGATATAGAGATGCATTGATTGATTCTCCATTCCACATTCATGGTTGTACACTCCAAAATTTCAAAGGTGGGAAACCAGTGCGCATGGCTAGTGAAGGGAAACCTCACTTGTTTACAATGGCGTCTTAGAAGACAGACTTTCCCAAGAATAGATCTAAATGAGACTAATGAAAAACTGAAAATTACACTACAGTGACTTCAGGCTCCTCAATAAAACTGTGCACCCTTTAAATGATTCCGAACCACCGTTAATTTGGTCAAATTCGAAAGTTAAGCGGTTCTGAAGTTTTAGGCAGCCAAAGTGACGAACTTTCACAAATATGATAATAGATCTATAGAGATATAGATATTCAAGAAGATGCTTATTCAAACTTCTCTCTCAACGTCGTTAAGATTCTGCTTTAAAGTACAGGAACCAACATGTGTTTGCACTATGTGTGGGAGAAACTGTGAAAATGAATACTTGGCTATCAGATAAAAACAGAATGTATAGATAATTGAGATATACATCTAACAGACTGTACCTGTATATGCCCCCAGGGGGTAGGCCTTCTAAAGTGGTGGTTTAAAATGAACAGGCAGGCCAAGAGAGTTATTTCGATTTCAAGTGACTGCACTATGGAGGGGGGTTCAGCAGTCTGAATATGCACATTAACCTTTTTCAAATTTTTACCTAAAGCATTTCAATTCATTCTGTCTGTCTATTACAACTGATTTTCTTTTTTCAGCATCTATCAAAGTTTGCCTGCTCAATAATGGGTTAAAATCTTGATATTAGTACATGTCTTCCCACTTTCCTGTACATCATGCTCTGTAACTCTTCAAATTGTGTGGATGGGGATATAAAAACATTTTTCAATTTTTTAACGTCACAGTAAAAAAACAAAACCATCAAATATGAGTCTAACTGGAATTGTCTCCCCTCCACAGATTAACTTTCAGACAGTTTATCAGGATGAGTTTCAGAAGAAACAGGCGCGGATGTGCAGGGCTCAGGTGTATCTGATCCAACAGGAGCTGCGGAGGAGGAAGCGAGAGAAACAACAACAACAGATGAACCAGCAGAAAACTCCGCAATCTCCCGGCGGCAAATGTTCCTCGGCTCCTCTCTCAACACACAAGCCCGTGCCCAACACAAAAGCTACGGCATAACTGTCGTGTGAAAACAACACCTTAAAGCAAACTATCTGCTGCATAATATGTCTAGCGAAAGATTTCTGGGAGTGACTGATTTCTTTTGAAGCTAGTTCAAGGCATGATTTGTCCTTAATTTTTAAAAAGTCATCAACAGCATTTTTTATTGTCTTATGGCCTCAAGGTGATTTAATATGTGAGGGGGCGTATATATAAATTTTATCAATGTTATATGAACAGGATTTTCTGTCAGCAATGTCCTGTATGACTTCCATCATGGTCGTAGATTGGTGGGCACTGATAGTCACTAAATGTCCAAATCTCTGGAGATAAACAAGCCTTGTTTTGAGATATGATTTCAGTTACGAACAAGAGCCCCTCTGAACGTTTTCTCCTAATCATTTATATATGTATATGTGTGTGTAAGTGTGTGTATGTATTTATTGATACACCGTCTTTAAAGCAGTTTGTGAGTTTTTTAATGTAAAAATGTTTGTTCATCTTAGAAGTGATACGAGCATTCCGAAAAATCTTTCCACTATCCTTTGTAACTTTTATAGTTCTTCTTTGAGTAAAGCATTTTTATGGGTTATCAAATTGTCATGCATGTTACTCTTATTTGGGATCATTGATGTATTTGTAACTTATGTCCCATTCTGGTATAATTGTATAACTAGAGAGAAAAAGAGAGTGAAAAAAAGAGAGCGAGAGAAAAAGAGGGAGAAAGAGAGAGAGAGAAAGATAGAAATAAAGAGGCAGAGTGAACGAAAGAATAAGATAAAGGAGAAAGCAAGGGATCGGAAGTGAGACAAAGGAAAGGGAAGAAATAAAAGAAAGAAAGTAAGTGAGGGAGAGAGAGAGAGAAAGAGAGAGGGGGAAGGTAGAGCGAGATAAAGTTTGCGTGCGGAGAAACTGAGTGAGTATTTGCATTTCAAATAATTTCAGTCAAGCCTGAATTATCATCAGTACAAATAACATTGTCAGTCCCTTCAAGTTATTCTGTTTTGTATTGACTTTTTGTGTAATATATTTATAAATGGTTTCTACCACCTTTTTCAAATAATATCAAAACTCTGTAAGACTAAGTAAGTTTATTTTATCAAGAATAGTTTTAGAACATTTTTGAGAATGTGATTATCTTCAAAATAGTAGATATATTGATGTTTTTCTTGCTTTAGACTTTACCGTAATTATAGACACGTTTATGTACACAGAATACTTTGATTGTATTCACTCTCATTTTGACATAAACTTTACAGCATTGTGTCCAAATTGTTGTTTTTATTGCATTGTTGAGTGACTGGAACTTTGTCACAGATTTAGCCAAAACTGGTTTTGCCAAAGTAACCAAGCATTGTCAATGTTCCTCTTTCATAGTTCCTCTGAGGATCATGCGACTATTTTTGCTGCCTAAAGTTTTGTAATTAATCGGTCTGAGTCATGAGTACTTTTTTTTTATGGGAAAAAAAGAGTGAGTCTTACTCCAAAGTCACACAGAAAAGAGTAACAAAAAATAATAGGGGCCTACACGGTTGAAATGCTGATGATGTTCACAATCTGTGTATGTCTGAAATTAGGTCAAGTGGTATTATTTTTTTTTTGAAAAGATGGCTTGTCCTGCAGATTTGACATTTACAAAGTGAAAATTGCAGATTATGACGCTTGCACAAAACTTGTGTTATATCTGTTTTGTAGCATATGTAATACTCACACAGTTTTCCACAAAAGTAGTAATTTTGGACTTGTACAGTTTGCAATGTCTATCTGATGACTCTCCATCGGTCCTCTATACTGCTTGTATTTATTTGGAAAGATAAGCCATTAGCTTGATAGTCTTGAATAAAATACCTTTCTGAATCAGAAGAACCATCTATAAAATATACAATAAGCATGTTTACCAGTAATGATATAGACTTGTGACGTTTGTGATATTACATATATTCTCAGATGCCAAAATAAAATCTGTCTCAGTGATTGTTTTTATTATAAAAGAAACTAACCTCAGTGACTTCTTGTTATGGTGTACCTACTGCAACAAATATGACTTTTCCATATGTACGATACCTGTGATTTAGTGAAAGTAAGTCACAAACAAAAATTTTATGAAGTTAATGTGAAAGCGGCCTTCCTGCGGAAAGCTTTTATTTTATGCAGGAGACAGAAAGAAATGTTTTGCTGCTGTTTCATTACTTTAAGTACTCCATGGAATTTGAGAGTTATATCTTAGTGCCTTTTGTTTTTCGCTTCTAAGATAGAACTATATCTTTGCTTGATAGAGAGCCTCATTTTCTATGATTGAACCCTGCAGTTTTTCTTTTTTTTATAGGGTAACAGTAGTTTAGAATATTGTAGAGGCCAGCAACTATTACCCAGCCTGTCATATCATATTCGAGTTGTGTGGGATATGTCCCAGCAGAAAGATGAAATTATATAATTAAATATCTTTCTCACAAGGGATTAAAAAACTCACCTTTTGCATGCAATACGAAAAAGCTGCTTATTACACCTTGGATGCTGGTATAAATACTATTGTATCTCGTTCGAATGTTTTGGAACAAGTTTTGAGCATTGTTTGATTTTATGTATTGAAAGAGTAGAAAAACACTGACTTTACTCATAGACAGCGAAAGATCTTGTCAGTACGCTAGTGTTTTTGCACTTATAAATGGCTGCTTGCACTGTATGCTTCCCAGGAAGTTGAGGCTGTTTCAGAATGCTCTCAGATCTGCAGATCTGCTGGGGCAATAGTGTAGATTGTGAAGCACACAGAGCTTGCTGTTGAGCAGGGATTTGCGCTATACAAATATGCTATCTATCTATTATCTATTATTGACTTTCAATATACAGATGTTTGTTTTTTAAAATGTGATAAATTCTTGATTTGAAATGGCTCAAGGACCAGTGTCTTCATTCAAAACCACTAATATTATTTTGATATAATAGTATACATGCATTATTGTACCTGTCTTCTACTCTTTACTTTAAATGTTTGGGGTTTTTAAATCAAGACTTTATCTCTCTGACTTGTGATAATGTTTTTTTGTGAAATGTTAAGTTTGTGGGAACAATGATGGTTTCGGATTTATGACCTATTTGGGCAACCTGAATCAGAAATAGGAAGAGGAGGGTTCATTTGGCTCCGTTTTGAAAAACAAGAAATAAACTTTGCCATTCGGTGTATCGCAGTGTTTATGTGTTTCTTTTCAATGACAATGTCAACTATTCTGTCAGCTTTAGGCCATTCCCAAAGGGGGGATATTAACATTTTCTTATGCACAGTAGAATTGTAAATGGGCTGATTTATCAATGTTTTGCTCATACTGTGCTGGATCAACATAGGGGGAACTGCTGCTTTTTGTTTCCTCATCCTTACCATTGTCATTTTCCTCTACTTCTTTTGTATGTTTGTCACTCTCTTGTGAACTGCTATTTCCGGGGTGCCTTGATAGTCAAAGTACACTTTTTGCTGTTGAGACTAGAGAGGAGAGTACAGTAAGCCTGATTCCCCATTTGGACTTCTCTGTTGACATCCACCCCTTGGCGCTCATATAACCTAATGAAGTTGCGAGCGCCGTAAAACCTTACTAAAACTTAAAATAATTCTGTTTGAGGGTTTTTTCAGTAAGAAAATTGTTCTTTGCCCTTCCTGAATTTGTAATGTGGCAGGTTGTAAAGTTGTTATTTTTCATTGTAGTGATAGTTTTACAGCATTTGCAACACAAATAGGCCATAAAAGTGCCCAAGATCAGTGGTGTTACTAGTACTAGAGAGTAACATAAAAGGAAAGAAAGAGGTTCGTCAACACGTAGGCTACAGGAAAGCGTTCTGTTCAGATTGAGGTTTGAACTTCTGTTGTTTGTCATTGACTTAATTATTGTTTGGACCAGGTCACTAAGGCTATCACGTTGCTTCCCTCGAATTACTAAGTTCTATCTGTTCACTACCTAGTTTTGAGAAATTTGACGTTAAAAATTTTTAGTTTCACATGTCAAGCTTTTTCTAAAGCAAATCTGAATATCTTGAAAACGACTCCAAATAACCATACAATTTGGATAAGCAGATAGATAGAACATTAATTTTGGTTTCTGATCTCATATGCTATTTGTGGCTCAAAACGGCCAAAAATGTCAGATAGAACTTTGTAATTCTAAGGTAGTGACCTGTTAACATGACCATGTTCATCAGAAAACTTTGGTCAAATGGTCGAGGAGTAACAAAATTTTGTTTTTGAAAAAAAGTTGTCATCATTGTGGGGGTTTTTTCCATCTCGTCCTTCCCCGCGTTTAAACCATGATGATGATGATGATGATGATGATGATGATGACAACATTAACAGTGAAGGAATGGCGATACATGTACATGTTGTTGTTTTTTAATTCCCTTGACGACGCTCCCAGCATTGTCGCCTAAAACGGTACCAAGGAAAAGGGGAAGGAGGGGAGGCTGTAGAAACAAACGTTCCGGGATGATAAAAAGTCGGGAAAAATCAGACAGGCTTAGAAACAAAAACCTAGCCATATGCTACTGGAATTGCAGCAGTGTCAGGCAAAGAGGCAGAGATCTGGAAAAGCTTATTTATGAAACGGATATTATGATTCCCCAGGAGACGAACGTAGAAAATTTCAAATGCCCTGGCTACAAGACCTACTCGAATCCATGTAGTGAGACCCACCATGGACAACTAATATTAGTTAAACAGGGCGTTACACACAGACTGATTGATGCGAAGCGATTCAACAGAGAGGACAGGGAGGTCCAAATTGTGGAATGTGAGGTGAGGAAGAGGAAATGGACGCTTGTCAACATCTATGTGGGCAATAACAGTGCCAGGATAGAGGAAGATTGGGACTTCCTGGAGGAGCTCGGCCAACTGAGTGAAAGCTTGATGATCGTAGGGGACTTCAACGCCAGGAGTGTCACATGGGGAAATGTGCACGATAACATTCAGGGAAAGGCGCTGGAGAGGGCTATGGTAGAGAGCAGTTGACTGAAGGAATGGCGATACATGTATATGTTTTTTAAAAATCTTTCAAAATCAAATTGGGTTTGATCTATTCTTTACGGAAGATGTACATGATACGAGGAAAGTTCTAGGGGTTTGACTTTCAATTTTTAAAGGTGGTACAGGCTTATTATAGACCAATTAGAAGAATTACGACGGATTTTTTTTTAGTTTTGTAAAAAAGTTGGGCTTTGTGGCGGCCATCTTGGATTTTTTGCTATGGACAGACGTTTTCCTCAGAAAAAAATCGAATTTAAGCCTCAAACTTGGCACACAAATACACAATCCTATTATCTGTAATCTGATGGAGATATTTTTGTCTATCACGAAAAACAACAAAAATATCCATATATCACCGGACGACTTCTGAAAAAAACGAGTACAAGGACAAAAAAGCAGAAATATTTTTAAAAGTAATGCATATTTCTCAAAATGCTGACATCGGATAACAAAACAGACTATACAGCACCTTTGTGCCAAATTTCAAGTTTGTAGCTTAGATAGGTTCAGAAAAACGTCTGTCCCCGCGTCGTCATCATAGTGAAAAAGTAGTTTTTGAGAAAAACGCAAAAAAAAGATTTGTGTTACGACGCAATGGAATTAGGCGCTCGCCAGTTTTTGAGCCTGTGGCGCTATTGGTACCATCTTAAGGCTTGTTCATTTGTCTATCTTTTTATGAAAAAAATATCCATCTCTAGACTAGAAGTCAATTTACATGTATTGTTCCTTTAATCAGTGGTTTTTAAAAAGTAAAATCCACAAAGAAATATGATCTTTAACGGACATAAAGGGTGCCCGAGCCTTAAATAAAAAAAT